GCGGAGATTGAGAAGACACACGAACGCCACTGTTTACGATACTCAGCCATATCACTCAAAGACTCTAACCACCGGTTACCAGGATCGCGCGGCCCCCATCCAGGGAACGTATGTGATCGCGTGTCCTGGTTAAAGGTTTTCATACTCTACTCATCACGTTCTTCTAAAACGCTAAATAGCTGAATGTGCACACCTGTCTGGCTGATATCAAGCCTTGAGTGGAGTGGTCTATGTCACGATACATTACCCACAGAGGTAGTACGCAAAGTAAATTGGCCCTATTCGCCAATGCTGGTGGCCGTGCTTTGTATTCTTCCAGAAGAATCTCACATTTGATGAAGTTACTATAAAGCTAACTTATGGATGCCTGAGAAGACTGCTACCGTATCGTGTGGTGCCGACTGACTTCCAGAAAAAATGAGGGATCAAAATGAAATTATTTGATACGCACAGAGAATACGCTATGCCGTGATTTTGTCCTCCAAATGAAAAAGTAAGCCAGCGGTAGAATTATACCTAACGCTTGGGGGAGAAACCCTAGAGCCATATTACTGTTGGAATACAGAACCCAATGTTGCAGAAGAAAATTGTTGAAGAAGGATCTAACAGTTGCAGATGTCAGCGAAATTTTGGAGCACCACGATGAACTGATGCGGCAACAGTCGGTGATGCAGTAAACCAATTCTATCGATGTAGCTTAAAGTAATTCACATACAGCCAAAGGTAAACCAAATCCGCACCAGATAATCTTGTCTATTCCAAATCCATCAAATGGTGCTTGTCGTGTTGTGCCTATAATCTACGTCGCTCATGTCAATTCCGGAATGTACATTACTATGTGTGTGGAATGATGGGACATGCACGAGAGACGTGTGATTTTGTGCAACCAGCGGAATCAACGGACGACCGCAGTTTTGCGTTTAAATTTCGAACCACGAGCGAGTATGAGCAATTCAAACTACGATCCGGTGGTCAAAACAAAATTATTGTGAATACCACAGCGGCAGACGTTTTATTTCTGCCCCTGTGCCTCGAGGCTTTTTATTCTGTGAAGATTTTTGTTGTCACTAGACTCAGAATACTAGCACTGCCTGAATTTCCCCATTTTCTATATTGTATGGCCGCTCTCCAACTGGCCTCTCCTCTGCATCCTGAAAATTCTATTATTGTATTTTCAATCAAATGAAGTAAAATAAAAGATAAGAGATTAGCGTGTGAGTTATCGTTGTTCTGGAAACACAAATGGCCAAAGTGCTAGATGGGAAGTTGATGGGGGCCATTCTTCACCAAACGGCATATATTACTGCTCAGCCAACATGGTGTGGTTTGGAATTATTCAAAAGCATGAAAACAAAACGCATTAATCTCTCTCGGGCAATAGGACGTGTGGTAGTGATGAACAGCGGTGGGAAACACCATGGATTTCGGTGATTAGCGACTGACAACGAATCCTAGATAGAGAAACGAAACAGCTACCATGATGTAGCCGGGGGATTTCATAAACGAATAGTATAGCAACATATGTTCCTCCAAGGTCGATTTTTAAAGCCGAATTCCATTGGTTCTGGTTGCAGACAAATCACTATGACTGTGGGGATTATACCAATACTACTTCCTGCCATTTGGTTTCCACATCTTGTCGGGTATACTTCAAGTAACCATTGATCGGGTTATCGGCAGATTTGAGGGTGTGTCGGCATATCAAGACGATGCTATCATGTTTCTTGCAGTCCAGGTAAAAACCAACAGCTACCCAATAAAATTGTTTCTTTTGTATGTGAAATAATGCGGATGATAAATGATTATTCGATGCTCGCCTCGTTTTACTCGTCGGGACATCTGACTTCGGTAACGGACATAACAAATTTTCGCACTGGAGTTGTTCTTGAACAAGACCGATGTCTGGTATCTCCCGTTTAATGAATATGACTGAACGAGGATACTCTCTCTCGGACTGGTTTCTACGATCTTGGCTGACAGTATCTGTTCAGTTTTCAAACATCCCTCTTTGAATCTACAGCAACCGTGATTCAGCGATACATTATGGCACTGGCCACTTACGACAAAAACATCGTGCATAGACTCGATAAAACTAATACGTAAACTATAATCTTGTCCTGATGACGCAAACTATCAGCGGCTACTTCTGTATGGCAGGCTTTGTCTGAGAGGTGTACGGACCGGTATGATGTGTAGGTGACGACAGTACTATCGCAAAGTTGGCACCCGGATAAAGGAAGAGGTTGCTCTCGTTCTAGTTTCACCGGGAGGAGATTCGTTTGCAGCACGATGTATTATCATGCAATAAAAACCTAATATTATGTAAAGTGGTGCATGAAGACTTGTACTTGTTGGTCACCCAGCCTGGAGGAGAAAATCAGTTGAATGATTGAGGATTTCAATGGAATTCTCAAGAAATTGAACTCAACAACAAATAATTAGTCTCCATGACCGGTGAGTCACCTACTGTGGTCAGCAGTAGATACCGACATCAAGGGGCCACCTATTGTCCACTATCTGGTGGAGTTCAGTGATTCCTATTCCAAGGTGCTTCTAGGGCGTCTCATGAATACTCGGCGTCGAGCCCTGAGCAACGACGGACTGATGTCGCCAATCAACAGTCCGATGCCCCATATATTTTACCTGAAGAGAATTTTCCGTTAGAACTGTAAAAAGTAAACACATGAGCGAGTCAGATTCATGAGGCATTTTTGTGATTAGAGAGACTCATTGATTTAAATCTCCGAGATAACACAAAACAGAGAGATACGCATTATGATTTCACAACGACCAATGAAGAACCAGAATTGTACATATATCGAATTAGTTGTGGCTTATCCAGGAATACAATGACTGAAGGAACACGAATGCTAATGCATTCCAGAACAATGACCTATTGTGGTACATATTGTTTAATCTGCTAGATTTCTTCCAATGAACTAAGCACTACTTTCATGACTTTCTACATGTCACTTGACGTCTTTCGGTGATTGTTTTCGAGTTATCAGCAGAAAAACATAATTTCTGCAGGAAGGGTTGGCACCTAAATAAGAAACCAGTGTATAATGGTGTTATTCATATTGTCGCATTATAAAGCGGTCGCTAGACAAGTGCAAAGAGCCATTCCGGACGTAAATTTATATTCACATTCAACTCAAAGTTACTTATGGTATGGAATAGACGATACCGGATGGAAATGACCAACTTTCAGAATTTGTCCTCATGGATTACACAGCTGATCAGATCCACCATGCATTCGGAAAGAATCAAACTGGAATACATATTTACTATTATATTATTATATTATATTATATATATTATATTATATTATTATATTTCACACTTGTCTGAGGACAGACTGTGTACCAGGCAAATCATGATACAATAATCTTTATAAAAAAGAAAAAAAAAGAGTTCCATGATTGGCTTGCGGGCTGATTACTGCCAGGTTGCCCAGGCCAAGGCAGGTGAATTTTCTTGAGGAATTCACAACCAGAGCCTTTGGCTAGCCTAAGCCTGACCCGTAAGGCAGTGGGGTGTTGTGGGAAAACCGCAGTCCATTGGGAACCGGCGTCCAGTTCATCGCATCATTCGCCCATCGGACGGGGTCAAACATCCAAGGTACCCAATACACCTCGATGCCCAATCAAGCCGGTGACCACTGCCACAACCGAAAAGGTGTGGGTGTGGTTCGTATGCCTCCTCATGGGTGGTTTGAAATCAGGGTTTTTGGTCAACTCCCCCAGGTGAACTACCAATGGTCCACCAACCCGGTTATAACCCCGGATGTCGGCTTTTCGTCCTCTCACCTTGGTGGGAAACACCTCTGCCCTGAGGAGGCAGTTAGTAGGGCTTCGTCAGCAGAAGCTATTTGAGACTCTTGGTTGTATGGGAACATTTCTCTAGGTGCAAGGAAAGGGTGACCAGCCGCAAACCTAGACACCCCCCCCCCCGAACATATTGAGGATTTCGGAGGCAAATACTGCGTTGGTTTGATCTCACGAGTAGGTCGTGTTCATCGGGCCTCAAATTCCGGACTCCTCATATAAAAGGCACGTGCGTTGCCAATATGCCATTCAGATCACATTTGAGTTGACCAGAATCACCAATTCACGTTTGTTCCGACGTGGTCTTCATTGATAGTTAGTCCTCGCAGCATGATCCAGAGAAGACATGTGGTTTGATCTCCTCAATCGCTGACATACGTATATAGCATAATGGTGCTGTTGGATCAGTTCATTTCTGCTACAACAGTTAAGAAGGGAGATCCAGTATGCTGTCCGATAACTCCTTTTGAAAGGGTCCGAAAAGAAGTTCCCATCTGTTACGAGTTGATGCAGTTGCACGACTGATATGCTCGAACAAGAGAGAAATGCTAGTCTATAATCTTTCTTGAATGTACGATTGAATGGGTCAGTTGATAATGGTGGATGAAGTTTCAACCCGGAAGATATTCGGCCGAACTCGGTAGATGGATGTGTCCGTAAAATAGAAGAATTTCCTTCCTTTTTATTTACGGTACGTAATAAGCAGTTTATTCCATTAACACACAGCTATTGCAAATAACGGAGGAATTATTCAAATCGGATGTCAGTAAAACACTATAGGTGTCGTCCTTAGCTCTCTTCATGAAAATAAAAACAACGTATAGTGATTTGACTGTCCATATCAGTTTCAAAATGCATAAATTTTTCAGTCGGGTGAGACCGCACTTTAGAACTGAAATGGCTGTCATAGTGATAATTAAATTCATGTATAGAATGGAGTTCAAAGAGAGCGTTCTAAAACGACCTGGTTTTAGCTCATATTTTGAAGCGCTTCACTTCTCAATCAATCAGGAATCTATATGTTTCAGTGAATCACATTTCCGTTAACTGAACTATATTTTCTCATCACAATGAGATGTTCTGCGTTGGCCCGTATCAACATACTGGGACTGTGGTAATCTTTTGGACAGTGAATAGTTATGAGCGAATCGGAGAACACCGAACAATTTGGGACCGGGGGTGGGGGTAATACCGAATCACGCTCTCAAAAATAATTTAGAAGAAAAGTGTATACAAGATGGAATTCATTGAATGGGTTCAAGGTCATTAGTCTGAGGAAAGGGGAGTTAAGGTGATTGCAGGTGTGTGAATGTTTAGTTTCTTCATTGATTTGCTACTGCTAAATTTGCGTCAAGAGACATGATGCTATGGTTTCAGGTCAAGACATCTTAGCCGTGTGAACCAATCTGTTTCCGGTGCATACCTTCATGCCTAATAAGCGAACAATTATCGTCTTAGTCATCATCAATGTTCAAAATTGAGCCTCGTTTGATTAATCGATTTGGATGCGACACAATATTGAGGTTTTCTCCAGTAGGGCGTTTGTCTAAGCATGCTGAAGAGGAAATTAAATCCGAAACTTCAAAAAATTCCCTTAGTTGAAAAACGAGCTATTCAATACCGGTAATGATGTACAGTTGTTGATCACACTTGGTCCCGGTTGCGATTATTTCATTTGTGTATCTAATTTTGATCATTGAGAAATTCAAGTGCGAGTCAGTACTACTTTCCAATTTCAGTTTATCTTTTACTTAACTTAACATCTAAGCACACCATTTATAAGGTTTTAGTTAAATATATTTCCCACATTAAATTATAGGAATGACTAGAACAAAGAGCTCTGGATACGAGTACTCATAAATCACGATACTTGACACGAAATTTCAGGAGCATTCAATACTGGTTTCAATTGTTTAGAATAGCAACACCGAAATAAGTTTCCCTTCACATATCTCAACACTGATTTTATATTCGTTAACTGTTAGTTAGCCGATTTTGAAAACTTCATTTCTTTTCCAGGTTCCAAGACGTCTTTCATCAATTATGCCATCTGAATTGGCCAATTTTATTGCATACATAACCCGTGAAGTGAAGCGTCGAGAATTTGTCATGACGCGTTGGAGTATTCGGGAACAGGAGAAAATTGAACAGGAAGCTGAGAACAAGAAAAAAGCTGGTGTCGCACCAACAGTCGTTCTGACCGAAGAGGAACAGTTACAAAAAGAGCGAGTAAGTGAATTACATCAACCCAATTTGATTAGATAAACAGGAAAAGAAGCTTAGGTTGACGCTCTGATGTAGTCAGGTAGATGATTATTTTATAGCCAGTAGACTAGGTCACATAGGCCCCGTTCGGTTCCCTGGCTGGGGACCTCGGGATGATCGTAACCGATGGTTAGAGACACTAAGTGATATGGCTGGGTGTCGCAAACAGTGGCGCTCATGCATCCACTCGTTATTCTCCTAACACCACTCTACATGAAT